ATTCCATTCACACACAGAAGAAGGCAATGTCAAACCACTTCTGGATCATCTGCCAAGAACGTATATGAACAGGTCCCAGTCCGAGAAAAGGATGGAAGGATCCTGTTCATATGGACCTGTCGTCAGACAGAACACTAAATAAATAATAATAATAAAATGTTCTGTCTCTGACGTCGCGATGGGGTTGCAGGCTTTGCAGTTGATCGGTCGAGCGCCTCCAATGAAGACGCACACGGACTGCATGACCTCGCGGCAGATGGTGAAGCTTCCCGGCTTCATAGACGTGCACGTGCACGTGAGGGAGCCCGGTGCGACACACAAAGAGGACTTCGCCTCGGGCACAGCCGCGGCCCTCGCCGGGGGCATCACCATGATCCTCGCGATGCCCAACACCAGTCCGTCGGTCGTCGATCTCCAGACCTTCTCGCTCGTCAAAGAGGTATTTGCCCTGTTCTTCAGCGTAATGTTTTCTGCAAGGACAAGTTGGATTGAGGCCACTTACAAACGTGAAGAATTTCATGACCGCCTGATTATAAAAGATCATATTCCACGCAGTCATTTAGTTAATTTGTTAGATATTAATTGCTCTAAAGAATTTGTTGTTATACGAGAAATAAGAAATGAAATAAAAACTTTCACTTCAACTCATTTCGCGTAACACCACAGATTAAAGAAAGATTACGTCATTATTTTATAAGGTATAAATCATGATTAATTTTTTCTGTCAGTTGTAGTATTTGAGAAGGAAGTGACCCGTTAACTATTTAGCCTTCATACAGGGAAACAAGAAACTTTACAAAATTTTAATGCAATATCCTGTTTGAAGGCAGTTAGAGATAAGTGGATAAGATTAAAATGGATCTTGGACAAATCGGTCGGTTGAGTTTGAGACACGATTGATTTTGGTGAACTTCGATACATATTTAAGTGTTTTAAGCGCTGATAATTCAGAAATTTCTCGTTTCAAAATTTTTCCATTGCTTGTTTTGAATAAAGAGTGGCGTCTCATTACTGTAAGTAAGTCCTCGTTCCTCTGTTTGCAGCTTGCTCACGCTGGCGCTCGCTGTGACTACGCTCTGTACCTGGGAGCATCGAGCGACAATTATGGCGTTATATCGGACCTGGCCTCGTCGGCTGCGGGTCTGAAGATGTACCTGAATGAAACATTCACAACTCTGACGCTCAAGGACCTGACAGTGTGGAGCAAAGTAAGACACAGATGAGACTCGAGGCTCTCGAGCCAGCGACGATGGTAACGTCGGTTATCTGGGTTGTAACATGGTTGGTATCAATGTTTTTGGGGGACGTACTGCCTGCACGTGGTGTTACAATCCGTAAGACCATTATAACTTCTGTGTCAAAGTTGTAAGCCGTTACATTACGGCACTTCGGATTCTCGCGTATCCCTTGAAGTGATATAGAAACAAAACATGGCAGCCGTCTTTGACTCTGTGAATATATTTTTCTCCATTACTGGCTGTGAAGTCAGTTTTGAAATTTCCTGTTGGACGAAGGACTCTTCGCTTTTGAGGGGAAAGCGTCGGGCACGCGATAATTTGTTCGCGCTCAGAGGTACGAAGAGGCAGGCAGAGATGCGAACTCCCGCTTCTTGGCATCGCGCACATTCACAAACATGTGACTTCATCAGATGCTCGGGGTTTGTCAGGCCACGTGACCTGTCTCGAACCAAAGACTTTGCATTTGTGTACACTTATATATTTTTTATGTGTTTTTTTCTTCTGAACAGCATTTCAACAGTTGGCCCAAGAAGTACCCTCTCTGCGTGCATGCAGAAAGTCAGACTACGGCTGCTGTGTTGCTATTGGCAACGCTTCATAGTCGACCGATCCACATTTGCCACGTGGCTCGCAAAGAAGAGATACAGATCATCCGAGCCGCCAAGGAGAAGGTACAGTCGAGTATTTTTATTTGATACTTCGTCTCAGGAAACTGTCGCTAGACGCAGTTAAAAAACATCCTCATTATAATATTTCACCTTCCGGTTGCTACGCGATCTGTTAGGTACAGAAGAATTTGCGTCTTCTGGACTTCCAAAAGATATTTAAGGAGCAAAGTTTGTAAATTGTTGAGTTATTTTTTGCTGAATTCTTATGCCACTTGTATCACACGATCTCGTAGCTTTATCAGGTGGACACCGCCCCATTCAACGTACTTAAACGAGGAACATGCAGATTGTGTAACTGATAATTCTACACAAAAGATGATTTTCTCAGGTTTTGGCTGGATAATGCAAGTGCTCGGACATCGTAAGAAATCGCTGTCTTGGCGTTTATCAGACAAGGTTCCGAGACTAGTGTAAATATTATTAAAAGAAAAAAACTTGACAGTGTTCGGAACACTTTGTTCAAATTTGAGCTGCGAAAACTGTTGTCTGACGTTTACTGCATTTTTTTTCCAAAGTCCCTACAGATACACTGAAGAGCTGCCTCCTTTCAAATCCTTCCCCTGTTTACCAGTGATCAACTTTTCATTGTGTTTGACGCAAGCTTTGAAGTTGAAATACTGGCACGGGGAAATAAACTAAACAAATGTTAATTTCCTATGTAAATATTTTGTTGCGTTCTGAGAATCGTCGGAGTTAATTTGATAGCGCGCGTTCTGTGTTTATGGAAATTTGTACAGTAACGCAGTTTGTAGCATTCCTGACGTCACACGAATTTTAATATCATGAAATTTAATTAAATTTTAGTTCAGATTGAACAACATTACGAGGCTAGTTACATTAAGACCTTCGCGTGTTTTTTTGCGGCCGTATGAAGTGTAACTTGCCACGTATCTATCAGAGTAAAACTTTTTTTTTTTACACGTATCGTTATGAGGATTTAAAAACTCATTTCATGCTCCGTAAATATCCCATCTTGCAGGATAATTAAATCAGAGCTAACGTTCACGAATTGTAAAATTAATTATTATTCCCACGAGCTGTAATGACTGGACTGGGCTTTACCGTTCAACATTTCCTCCTCATTCGTATTGATCTTGGTAACTGGAATGAATAAGTTAAAGCGTTTGTAAGTTTGGTACACCTGATCTGTACGAAGAACATTGAATGTCGTGGTCCAAGTGGTTAGCATTACTGATTTTTTTATTTGGGAGGTCCCACGTTCAATTCTTGGCCTGGAGACCGCCTATCTTGACTTTTGTGGTTTTCCTCAGTCCTTCCATTCAAATTTACAGTTAAAGATTCTCATATTTCGATATTTCTCATAGAATTATTCTGCGTGCTTTGGTTCGTTCTGTGACTTTGTCTTCGAGCCAGGTTTTGGACACCACTGATTCTGTCGTGCGATTCTTTTTTTTTTTTTTTTCTGTTCACCTCTCAATCTTTGAACACAATTCATGTAACACGTGTTCCGCTGTATGAAGATAAGGCGTCCATAAATGTTTGCGGGGCCTGTTGAACCACGTATTGTTCGCTGTTTGTACTAGATATGAAGTGACTTCCTTCTAACAAAAAAAATGGTGTCATTGGTAGCCATGTGATAGAGCGTGATAAGCTCTGATTTCACGAATATCCTGTTTTAATGTGACGGGATGGTACCGGCATGCAGTCGTCCCGCTTATTAACGAGAAGGAAATAAACACTTATTTTATTCAATTTTCTTTCATCTCTTGTACTTTGACGTGATGCTCGTCATTTTTTATGCTGTGATCTGTCTTCCAGTTTGACTTCAACTCCCAAATAGACCGACTGCCTATCGATCTGGGACAGATCACTCCAGAAGTAAGGTTCGAACATGTTCTGATTGTTCATGCTTATCTTTAATACTGAATGTTCTCGTTAGCTGTTCCTTCAGCTTTCGCACTAACCACTTCTGTGTGTGTCTTAATTACTGCAACTCTGAGAACAATGAAAGTGTTTCAGCTCAGATGTAAAGTATTCAGACTCAAAGTGCCATTAGAGGAACGCGTCGTCGTGAGGGCGGCAGGCAATGTGGCACGGCCGAGGGGAAAAGCCGGGGCAGAGACTTTGTAAATCAAGGTTTGAGTCTGTAGTAAGCAAAGTTTTATTGCTGTGATTTGAGCGTCGGAGAGAAATCCGATTAAATCACGAGAATGGACGGACAAAGAACGAAGCATTGGATTTTGTTATTTCTTTTAAATACCTTAACTCAGTCTGCCGCTACAGCAGAGTCTTTGAGAAACTAATAGTTGCTCAGCGAATAAAAAATTCTCTCCGCCTTTTATGGAACTCAGATGTTCATTATCGTGTTCACAAGAGCCCACAACGTGACCGTCTCTTATGCCAGATGAAGAAAGGCCACGCCCCTAACAATCTATTTATTTAAGACCCATTTTAATATTGTCCTTGCTTCTGTGCATTTCTCTTGTTCTCCTGTTTAATTACCTAAAATGTTCTTCATCTGCACTAGAATGATTTTTTAACTGAGAATATAATAATGAATTACCCACTTTTCGCAGGCGTAGGTAATTGTTATTTTGGTTCACAATGCAGTACGTACTTCAAGATGACTGTTCTCTGGTAGAAGTTTGCCATTTCTTCTGAGGTGCTTGCTGCCTTCATGATCAGGGTGACGATTGGTAATGATGCCCTGATGATGGAGGCAGCAAGAATCTCTGGTATGTCAGTAAACTTCTACCTGACTTCACGATGCAACATCCCAGAAGATAGTCATCTTCATACTCACTGCTGTGAGATCTTGGAATCACACAAATTCGCGCTTGATTTCATTTAGATTTGAATTCCATTTCTTTGTGACTGTTTTGCATAAGATCAGTCCCACTATACGCCATGTAGGCGCTTGGGGGGAGAGGAGGTGTAGCTCCTACTCATTCTTGACCTGGGCACCAGATGGGGGTGAGTGGTAAGCGTCACGCCCTGGCCGTGCTCTTCCCCCGGGAAAGGACCCCCACCAATTGGACAGGAGGCTGGGTGGGCCCCAGAGCCGGTCTGGACGCAGAGGCTAGAGGAAAATTTTTTAATTTATAATTATCTGTATAATTAGTTGATCTATCCACAATATTAAAGATCACCACTGCCTTCTGGGATGTTTCGCAACGTAGTTTCGTAGAAATTGAGCAGTGTTTCATCAGGGTGATGATTAATTTCTACCAGACTGCATTTACGTACTCATCGCTGTGAGAATTTGAAGTCTCACGTTTTTCAAATGTCCACCAGTACAGTTCTTAAAACGTTGCTCCGTTGTTCGGTGTGCAGGGCTTGCCCGTGACGTGTGAGGTGTGCCCTCATCACCTGTTTCTCACCGAGACGGATCTGGACAGGCTCGGGCCGAAGAAGGGCAGCGTGAGACCCGTCCTAGGAACGCAGGAAGATCAACAAGCGCTCTGGGACAACCTCGACATAATAGACGTGTTCGCCACGGATCACGGTGAGTTTGTCCTGCCCCGTCACTGTTTGCATTGTAAGGCTAATGAATTAATTTAAATATATATCAGCAGCGGGGCATGATCGTGAGAAGATAGGTTTTGGCTACCAGATTTATTTATGTCTTCACTCTTTAAAGTTCGGTGGTAAGCATGTGCGCCACCTGCTTTAACGACAAACAACTGCATTTTTACACAAAGTGTGTTTAGAGATTGTTTGTGATCTTCCGAATGAACAGTGTTCATTTCCATAAAAACAACATTAATCAGTTGATTCATTTTTAAAGGTAGGAACTACATTTTTAAATAATTTATCCAAGCTTTGGCTTCAGAAGGCGTGATCTTACAATTTGACATTTTTGCTACTGCTGCTGTGTTAAACTTCAGTGGTATATTAATCTTATCTTATAATAAATGCACATTCTCTAAACATTAATGAATTAATTCTGATTTGTTCTTTCTTTTAATTAGCGCCTCACACCTTGGAAGAGAAAACGAGCGAGAAGGCGCCGCCAGGTTTTCCTGGTTTGGAAACCATACTGCCTCTTCTGCTGACTGCCATCTATGAAGGAAAGTTGACATTAGAGGTAAGAAGTCACAGAAATCTGAATAATATTTAATCATTCAGTCCCTACCTCAAAGAGAACATAATTTCTGTTTACTCTGAAAATCAGAAAAATGCACAATTACTGATTGTTAAAATAGGTGGTACATATAGTTACCAGTAGATTTTAATGTATCAAGACATTTTGAAGGTTCCAGCGTTCTCGTCTGCTTATGCACGTATCGCGTTAATTTTTTATCCATGATTTGGTCTGGAACGAAAAATCTGCTTTGTGGCGTGTGGTCTTGGGCTGTTTAATGAAGCTTCTTCAACTACGCAGAAATTAACTGGAAAGGATGTAAAAGGACTTGTGCCATTGTGGTACAGTGAATATCTATGAAAACTGTTGTTCAGGATAGCCAGTCTTGAAACCAAGATTCAAACCCAGTACCATCCATGCCAGCTACTTCACTGACGTGTTTCGTGTGCACAACGTTGTTACGCCAGGGGGTCTCGGTGTAACATGTCACGTGACATGCAGTTTCTAAGTCTCTGTGTCTTAACTTCACCGCAGGATCTCATCGACAAGTTCCATCGGAACCCTCGCAAGATCTTCAATCTGCCAGAACAGCCCCACACATACGTGGAAGTGGACATGGAGGAGGAGTGGGTGTTGCCGGAGGCAATGCCGTATAGTAAGTCTCGGTGGACACCGTTCGCTGGCATGAAGGTGCGTGGCGCTGTACACAGAGTTGTGGTACGCGGTGAAGTCGCCTATGTTGATGGGCAGGTAAGTAGAACACGTGTTCTTTATACTTCAAAGTGTTCCTGTATATTTAACTGCTTTATCATTTATTTTGAAAGAATAATACAAAAATATATGTTAAAAAAATAGACTGTGATGGTGTGGAATGAATTCAAATGTCTCTGATATAGGAGGGCTCTTGTGAACGTGGTAATGAACGACTAGGTGAGCAACCAACAGATCATAGGAAGGAATGTGAGTTAAGTGGTTATTTCCCGACATTGATGCTTTTATTGCGTAGGTGTTGGTTCCCCCTGGGTTTGGCCAGGACGTGCGAGAATGGCAGACAAAGAAACAGCTGTTAATCGGCCATCAGGCACCCGCTGGACCGGACACTAGCCGCCCCTCATCCAGCCTCGACTGTCCGATTTCTCCCGTTGACATTCCAAAGCTCACGGTCAAGGAAGTGGACAGGCACAGAGCAGACGATGTGTGGGAAGGCGACAACGGTGAGAAGCTGAGATCAGGGAGATAAATGAGTTCAGAGGAGACCGACCTCTCACCTCCATAAGAACGTAATGCCACAAGTCCTTAAGACTGTCATTTGACATGTTTTATATGGGTACAAAATTTGTTCTCTCGTCCTAAGGGAATCGATGATGAGGTGCCTGAGGGGAATATTTGGACGTAGGAGGAGGCTGGAGAAAATTGTGTAAAGAGGAGTTCCGCGGTTTGTACTTTTCACCGGGCACTGGTTTCATCGCTGAGGAGATGCAAATTGCATGCAGAAGTTCAACTGGAAAAGCGGAAGGAATGAACATCTTGGAAGACCTAGATGCAGATGGAATGATTGTACTAAAATTGTTCTTAATAGTTTTTGCTCCCATATCCAAGTCTTTCCGTGACATGTCATGAGAACACGCAAGATATTTTTTTTTTTCGGAACACGATTTAAGACCATTTTTCTGCTGCTCTGCTATGAGATGCTTGAAGTTACTTCTGAAATTTCTCTTGTCACTGCACTGTTAATTTATGTTAACTTGAAATACTGCAAAATGCTGCTAAAAATGGCTGAGTCCAAGGTAAGCCAGCGGTTGTTTCTGGCAGTGAGGGTATGGAGTGGATTCATCTGGCTCATATTCAGGATTATGTACACAGTAATGAATCATCGGTTTCCATGAATTTCTTGACCAGGTGAATGACTGTCAGCTGTTAAGAAGGATTGTGTTCCATGCGGTTTGTTTGTTACTGTCCAAATTTGATAATGAATGTGCTGCTTACTGTCGCTTTCAGACATGTACTCGAAACTTCTTTCTGACGCAAACGTAAGAACAATCGGCTTTCTCGCACCGGAACTTGACTTGAAGGAGTACATGAAGCTGCAGGCAGGAGTACGCAGCGTGTCGCCCCTTCCGTCCTTGGGCATGGCTCGCCATAAGAGCGAAAGCAATCCGAACCTGTACGTCGCTCCCTTGGTGGCCGTGCCCGCGACGACCGGCAGCCACGGGCTGATGGGACAGCACATCCTCACTGTCAACATGTTCTCTAAGGACCAACTGAATGACATCTTCAACCTCGCCCAGACACTGAGGATATTTGTGCAGAAGGAGAGGCCCCTGGAGCACATCCTGAGGGTACAAACATTTTAAAGCTGCTTTTGGTCGGGGCAAATTCCCGTCTCTCTGACGACTGTTTCTGAAACACAATTTTTAATACTCGCTCATTTCTGATAGACAGTTCTCTGAGTCTTATGTGGCCCACGCCATTCGAATAAATAAGTAATCTTAAACCGGGCGACTGTCTCCTTGAATGTTGCGCCGCGTACACCGGCGGAAGTTTACCGTTGCTTCTGAAATGTTTACTGCCTAGATGATGGTGGCAGCATGCATCATCTCTGAAACGTCGGTAAACTTCTACCAGACTACGTGGCACGACGACCCGGAAGGCATCCGTCTTCGGACTCACCGCCTTAAAAACCTCAAATCCTACGATTCCTTTAATTGTTTAAATATCTCGATAAATAAATAGTGTTTCAGGCTTTCTGTTCGCTCGGAGCTGTAGGATACGTAACGCGATTAATTACCAGTTTTATGCCACACCAGGGAAAGGTCATGGCTTCCGTCTTCTACGAGGTCAGCACACGCACAAGCTGCAGTTTCTCAGCCGCGATGCAGAGACTCGGAGGCCGTGTCATCAACATGGATGAGACTAGCTCCTCGGTCAAGAAAGGGGAAACTTTAGAAGGTAACTCAGCTCATCGTGTCTCCGTTTTCTCTTAAACACCTTAAAGTTTTATTTGAAGTAGGCCACAGCTAATTCCTGGCACATTTTACCCATTCATCATTCGTGGTTATTCTACTGCGTTTCGTTTAACTCAAGAAAGACAGGCATTTGTTATAAAGGGAGTAAGACAAGGATGCAGCCTTTCGCCCCTGCTGTTTAACTTAAATGTTGAGACAGCAACGAAGGAAGTGAAAGAAAAGTTCGGGACAGGAATAAAAGTCCACGGGGAGAGGATAGCAACGTTAAGGTTCGCTGATGATATAGCCCTTTTGGCTGGAAGGAAGATGTAGAGAAATTATTGAATGGTATGAATAGATTACTCAGTGAGTGATTCAGCTTAAGGATAAACAAAATTTATGAGGAGCAGCAGAAATGAGAATAATGCTCCATTAAATATCAAAATTGGGAAATACGCGGTAGAAAAATTGAAGGAATTCTGTTATTTAGGAAGCAAAATCTCAAAAGATGGACGAAGCAAGGAAGACATTAAAAGCAGGTTAGCACAAGCGAAAAGAGAAGTCGAACATTGACCTGGAATTAAGAAAGATTTTTCTGAAGTTACGTGTTTGGACCACAGCGCTGTACGGAAGCGAAACACGGTCGGTGGGAAAGCGATAGAAACATTTGAAATGTTGAAAATTAAGTGGACTGATAAAGTACGAAATCAGCTGGTCGTAGACAGGATAGGCGAAAAGAGAAGAGATAGGACACATTCCGAGGCACCCGGGATTGGTTAATTTGGTAATGGAAGGGAAGAATTGTAGGGGGGAGACAAATATTAGAATATGTGACACAGATTTTTGAGAACGTGGACTGTAAAAACTATGTGGAAATGAAGAGATTGGCGTAAGATAGGCTAAAATGGAGGACCGCATCAAACCAGTCGAAAGACTGATGACAGAGAGAGAGAGAGTCATTTAACGCAGTATAAATCTCTGGAGTCATTATAATGACTTTGTTAGCGCCTTTGTCCATGTCCTATTTGCAAGTTGTATCTGTATGTAACGAACGATGTTGTCCATTTCAGATTCTATTGCTGTGATGGCTGGCTATGCTGATGTTGTGGTGTTGAGGCACCCAGAACCAGGTGCAGTCTCTGTAAGTACCGTGATTGGCGTCGATTTTTGAGGTTTTCACAGTGACAATTCTGACTGGGTTCTGAGACCATGTAGTCTTGTACATGGTTACCGAAATCTGAGGGGAACTTGTCACCTCCATCTTCAGGTTATAAGTGAAATAAGGGCCTTCCTCTCTAGGTGCCATGCTGACTATAATTTTCTGTCCCCTGTTCACAGCAGCACAGAGGGGTTGGTCTCCTTTGCCCAATCCCTGGCTTCCTATTGGCCAAATCTTCTTGTCCGTCTTCCTTTCCTGTATCGGGTAAATCACTTCTACCCTGAGGATTTAGGCAGCGTTTTTCTCCAAAACATTGGTGTCACGATGTAGAAGAATTTTGATACGCTGTAGTCGAGTTCAACAGTGGCATTCATCTTGCAGCGAGCAGCGAACTACTGCCGCAAGCCTCTGATCAATGCGGGTGATGGCATCGGAGAGCACCCCACGCAGGCGCTGCTGGATATCTTCACAATCCGAGAGGAGATCGGCACTGTGAACGGGCTCACCATCACGATGGTCGGTGATCTGAAACATGGCAGGACGGTTCATTCTCTTGCCAGGTATAGGACGAGTTCTTTGGAACGCACTCTTGTTTATGTTATGACACCGCTATTTTAAAAAAACGTAATGTCCCCCCCCCCCAAATTTTTTCATATGTTACGTTCAGAACCAATCTTGGACTTAAATTTGTGCTCACGTTTCTTCCTGTCGCCTGGTGATGTCTCTTAGAGAAATGGCGTGCAATTTTCAGTCTTTGCAGTTAAAAGTGTCTGTGTTCCTTCTCAACGGCATTCAGACCCTTGGGCTGTGGGAATTTGGTAAGAATTGAATTGTCATTCTAGAATAAGTGTTTGTTGTTTGTACTCAAATCTTTAAATGATATCTGGCGTGAAAGTGGTGTTGAAGTGAATAGCGTGTAGCGTTTAGAACATACGAGTCACCATTTTACTCTTCTTTTTTTAAAAAAAAAATCAATGTTGCATTTGGCGAGATTTCAGGTTCTTACCACGGTTTTGAAGGCAGCTGTCTTCTGCGATGTCACTCAGTCTGGTAGATGTTGACTAAACATGGTGCAACGTCTCATAAAAAATTCTCATTTTGTTTCTGTGCTCTCCAGGTTGCTGACTTTGTATAATGTGCAGATCCGCTATGTCAGCCCTCCGAGCCTGACGATGCCGGTCCACGTCGTGCAGTTCTTAGCCTCGAAAGGAATTTCCCAAGAAAAGTTTGATTCTCTTGAAGAAGCCCTTCCGGAAACTGATGTTCTCTATATGACGAGAATACAAAGAGAGCGATTCTCATCGCAGGAAGAGTACGAGAATGTGAGTACGTTGGTGAACGCCAGAGCCTCTGAAATGTGTGCCATTGATTGCGAGATGGAAGGAGTTCCAGGAACATTCAGTAACCACGAATATGCTGTGGTTTGCTCCTCAAAGTACAGACCCCTTTGTGTAGGTCCTCTGTAGACGCTGTTTGAGTAGGCGAAAGTATACTCTCCTTTTTTACCTTTCGTAATTCATATTCTCACCAGAGTGCATAAAGCTGAACATCGTTATCAACTCATAACACTCCTCCTCCGTATTTGGGAGGTCCTTGGTTCAAATCTCGACCCAGAGACTGTTTTTTTGTGGTTTTCCTCAGTCCCTTCAGGCAGATGCCAGGATAGTGCCTTAAATATGGCCACGACCACTTCGTTCCTAATCCTTTCCTGTTGATTACCATCCTCTCACTCGACGCTGAAAAAGCGTTGTTAAATAAACTATAAATAAACAAAAATTCAAATACACGAGTGTAATTTTGCCATTTGCGTTGTATGGGTGCAAAACTTGGTCTCTCACCTTGAGGGAGGAACATAGATTGAGGGTCTTTGAGAACAGTGTTGAGGAGGAAGACAGATCACGGAGAAAATTACATGATGATGAGCTTAAAAATTTGTACTCCTTACCTGACGTTCAGGTGATTAAATTGAGGAGGATGTAGGTGGGTAGGACATGCAGCACGCATGGGGGAGGGGAGGGGTGTTTATGTGGTATTTTTTCGGAGGCCTGAAGGGAGGAGACTGCTGTGAAGGTGGGAGGATAACGTTAAGATGGACCAGAGGGAGATTGGAATCACTGGGGTGAACAGGATGCAGCTAGCTCAGGATAGAGTCTGATGATGGGCCTTTGTGATCTCTGTGATGAACCTTCGGGTTCCAGAAAGAAAGTGGGCTTTCCTTAGACAAATCGAGTGTACAATCGACTTTTCAAAGAATTTCCTGCACCACAGAGTGAGTGAGCGAGGCTTTTGGTTTACACTGTCCATTCACGCAACATTTTTCTGTGATACCTTGAAAGTGTAAGTAGTCAGATCTCTATTTTCCTTTAAAATACATTTGGCTCTACAGTCTGCTTCTGTGTTAAGAGACTAAATCTTTAATGTTCATGTAAATTTGTTCCTGGTGCTTAATTAAGAACTACATCATGAAGAGTTATTTAGGAGTGGTGATACAGCGCCACATATCTCAACCTTGGTAATGAGCTTCAGACCTGGCTGTTTTACCTTCCAAGACAGGGTGGGAGGCTGGGTGGGCCCCAGAACCAGTCCGGACATAGTGGCGAAAAAAGAAGCCCTTACCCCTGTCAAGAATCAAACCCCAGTCATCCAGCATCCATTAATACACTGACTTAGCTACAGGATTTATTGAATCAATTCTCTATTAAAGCCAAATTTGAAATATTGTTATATATAAGAATGTGAAGTTGTGTTACTTTTGAAAATTCTATGTAGCGTAAATGACGATCTTGTTTTCTGTCTTAGGCTTGTGGACTGTTTGTGGTGACCCCACAGTTAATGACTAGGGCAAAGCGCAAGATGGTCGTCATGCATCCGTTACCCCGGGTGTTTGAAATCAGCCCGGAGTTGGACTCCGACCCACGAGCGGCTTACTTCCGACAGGCTGAGTGCGGCATGTACGTCCGCATGGCTCTGCTTTCTATGGTTCTTGGTAAATGTTGATCGTGTCCGCGCTAGTACAGTCAGGCGACTTATTTTGTTCGGCTGCATCAATCAGAAACACACTGCAGCATAGTAGCGGAAACTTGGGACTTCAACCGTGTATTGGCCGATAATCGCCTTATTACAAGCATTCAGACATCCGTACAATATTTTCTCCTCGCACGTTGTATTTACATTTAAAATTATTAAGTTGTATCAGATCATAACAACTGTCCTCTCATATGAACGGCATAAATACGTCATTATACGGACTGAACGCACGGAATAACTGGTATTATGTTGTCTCATCACAGTGACATTCAATCTTCTCGCGTAATTTATACTTCATCGGATTTTTGCCTCAGACGAAAAGCAAGGGGAAACGCTTGTGCGGACTGTTCGTATATCAAATCGTTCGGCCCCTAAAAGCGTAAATGACGTTGAATGTCTCCACTTCTCCTTTCGTCTTCCTGCTGCAGTGTCAGGTGTGTTGTTATTCTTTTTAATACGCGAAACATTGGTAAAGCTCTCGGCAAAGGGTAACAGAAAAGTAAGAAATATGCGGTCGTTAACTCCTCGTCACTTCTGATCATTCCAAATTAAAATACTCTATTTTTATTAATGTTTTTGTTTTTCAAAAAAAAAAGAAGAAGCTATATTTTTATATAATAAAGGATTTGTAAATGAAGTGGCAAATAAATTTAATGAATTGTAAATATAAATATATTTAATTCCATTTCCTCCCCCTGTCTAAAGTAGCGTCAGTTCTGAGCAAACGAAGAGTTCAGGCACAGTACGAAGACGGACGTCTTCTGGGATGTCGCGCCGTGTAGTCCGGTAGAAGTTTGCCGACGTTTCAGAGGTCCCTGCTGCCTCCATTGTCAATCCTATTGATGAATTGATGTTCTTCTGTGCAGTTTTTTGAGAAGGAGAAATCCTTTAGATTTTCTCTGATTGATACACCAGGCTACATAAAATGAGAGTTGTCGAGCCCTTGCGTTTGAAGAACTTCGTATGGCAGTGTGTTTGACGTCGTCGTTTTCATCAGGTTTTACAGTCGATGACACACAGTAGCATGTAGATGAATGTTTCTGAGTGGTGCTGTTTGGCTCGAACCACTTCGATTTTAACGACAACTGCGCGCTGAATGTACTCCGGGTATTGCTTCCGGGATATGACTGCAAACTGACGATATTGTTTGTATCTGGCACGAAACATTTCAGCCGGAATAGCTGTTTTCCCAGGTCAAAGCAGGAGAGTTAGTCACTGCACCATATCGTGTCTGCCATCTAGGGATCTTTCAGGAAATCGTAAGCGACGTATAAAATAGTGGAACGATATGCAAAATTCAGTGAGTTTGAACAGATGGGGAAACCCACCACCATAATGGACCCTCGAAACAGAATGGGGAAGCATGTGATGTTTCTTTTCGTGGAGTGGGTGAGAAAATGAGGTTAGGATTCATATGCACGGTCGTAAGCTGAAGTATTTGCCATTGATGGAAAGAAATGTGATGACATCCTGCACTGGCAAGTATTCGCTTTGCTGTTGATACGCGCACGTGCAGTCACCATAATCGTTGGCTCCAGTTTCTTGTCGCAACACCACGCTCCCGCTAGCAATTCTCCACGCTGCCGGGCACTGCCGGTAACGTCGCGCTGTTCTCGGTACACATTTGATTTGCAAATGTTATGTTCTCGTTGTTTGTTGCACTGTTTCGGATAAACTGGGGGAACTTTGTCCGTTTTGGTATCGCGGTTGTTTTCCCGCTAATCCTGCTTGCTGGAGACACGTGTTTCCTGAAAAAATTTAATAGAGTTACATCTGAGTTATGCGCGTTCACCACCGAGTCTTTTGTCTGCAGAACCATTTTGGCCTCGTGTAACTCTGAAGTGAACAGCGACTCAAGACTTTACAGAAACTGGTATGACAAATCTGGTGCCAAAAATGGTTCTGTAATAGAATAAAGTTAACAGTGATCTAACCTGTGTCATGTGGGAGTAGATTTACATCTGCGTACCACGGAACTTATAACTGGGCTTTGCTGGCTTGACGCACAGACCTCACTTAATTCACAATGCAGAATTCTTAAAGTTTAAATTGGAGATGGAAACTTATTATTGCATAAATTTAACACACAACAGAAAACATGACTCAATTAAAGTTTACAAAAATGAGTTGGATCTGAGGAAAAGAATTTCTGAGGAGAATTACACCGGATTTTGTTATTACAGTAGCGCTTTTTAAACGGGAGAAGTCTCACGCTTACCGAGTCCTGCAGTCGATGAGCAGTGCCAGAATGAATAGGATTATGACTGCCGCAAGAACCGCTATCACGACGCCCACTAAGACCGTCGCCTCGCCGTTCTCCGTGACAAAAGACGAAGCTGCAGAGGCACCCCACTCGTCACTTTCATCTGCAATATGATTAACCTCACATCACCCAAATGTTGATTACAAGAAGAGGCATCCGAGACATCACGTCTGATGTCGCGCAAATGTAAATTGCCCTTCAATGGCTCAAATCTCTACGAAATCATAGTAGCGTTAATTAATGCAAGATCTGAGATGTGAGTATGATGATATATCTCTTTAAAATAATGTATTTCAAGGATCTTTTATCATAGCTGATGAACCATTGTAGGGATTTCTAGACTCGGATAACGTGATTGCAAATGAATTTCAGTATTGAGGGTCCGTGCTAAAAGCCTGATGCCAAATGTCATTTTTTTCTAGACTGAGCAATGCAGAGTATCAGTACTTGGATAAAATAGATTTATGTCCATCTGAAAACCTACAAAGCTGTGATCACCGTCAGCATAATGTATAGAACGTAATAAGCGCATTTAGACCAAGAATTAATGAAAGCAACTTTTAGTGTGGTTTGTGTGTTCATAGAAAGAAGGCAATAGACAAACTTCCTGCTCATGAGATCAAATGTTTCCTTGGTTAGGTTAGGTTAGGTTAGATACTCGCTCGTTTCGATGCTTAAGGTGAAATTAATAACATTTGTCCATTGGCTCCAACTATACAGAATTCAAGGTTACTGAGTGACCATTTGTGGAGCAGAATTTATACAAATTAATATTCCGTATATAACAGGCCACTTGATTCGGTTGCAGATGCTGACTAACTTCTCTGATCATTTATTTCTTAATGATAAATTGTACCCAACTCAAATTGTGCTAGTTTCTTGTTTTGCCTATTCATTCTACATACTCAGCCCATCATAATCTCCATGCCACTCTAACAATACACGAAATACATTTGGTGTGTACTTGTTTCTCCTTGGAATATGGGTGCCATTCAGGATTACAATTTGCCCCTATTTAAAAACAGAAACTCTTTTGCTACTAATTAAAAATAAGAGTTTTGTATAAAATTGAGTTATAGTTGCATAAGTTGAAGGTAGAATTCTGAAATTAAGTGTGTGACATCATTGATCATAATAATCAATTTTAAACAATTAGTACTGTGGCGAATGTTTATCAGAGTAAAATAAAATCAATTTATGCAACTTTTTTCGTATGTATTTGAGTTAAACTTGCAAAGATATGCGTGCTATTGTGTAAAGTGGTCATTAATGTTATCCAGCCTAAATGAAAAAGCAATTTTTCATAAAATTCTCTAATACTAATTTTGTTAAAATGAGGTTATGTTGCCTCGACTTCCATTATAAGTGAAGCTATCATTTGTACATGAACCTGCCCAATATTTTAAGATGGCTTTCTTGTTATTTTTTTGCGTCATTCTGTCTGGTAGAAGTTTACCGACGTTTCAGAAATGTCGGAAAACTTATACCAGGCGACACGGGGTAACAGCCAGCCATCTTCATACTCGCTGCTGCGAGAACCTGTAACCTCGCCCGTTCCATATTTGCCGTAACAGTTGAGGGGAGAGTGTAGAAGTCAACGGACTTTGCTTGTCAGCTGTTTATACGCCATGTTGAAACTTCCGCGATCATGGCTGGAATGAATCGTCATTTGAACGGCCTTCGCGTGGTTAAATAAACAACGTTGTCAGCGTTTAAAGGTGGCAACGCACGTTTTGAATAACTGTATATCGTTTAACAAACGCTCATAAATCGGGAACAAATTACCAGTTCGAAAAGTTCTTCAGGCTTGTGTGTTGAATACTTTATGAAGAGACGATGGCCCGTTTACCTACTATCTTCGTGTCTTCTCTTTGTCGTATGGCGCATAAATACAGATACATTTTAGGCCTCGGACACATTGGAACAGTTTCTTCATTTCTGTAGTCGCAAACGCGGTTTAAAATACCTCGTAAAAGGTCAGAGTTAGGTTAGGTTGTGGTTTTGATGCCAATGCACTAAAGTGCTTCTGGAAACCGAAAGAAATAAGTTATCCAGCAGACGAAAATATTATTGTTACTTTCATGACAGTGCCCATCTTTGTTATTCTTACAAAACAAAATTTCTCACGAGATCCGAATTACAAATTCTGAGCTTTGAATGCACAACGAGAGTAGTGAGAAGTGAGTTTACGTGTGCACATGTCAGTTGTCTCAAAATCAAGTCGTGCTTTCGTGCTGTCTGTATGATGATGACCCGCACTTCGCAAAGAACTGATGTGATACGAGTTGGGGAAATTCGTTCCGCGGTTGTGAGCTGTCTCGGTTTGCTTCCCATTGTAGTGTCACAAAACGGAACTTTCTGAGTTAACCTGATTACACTTCACAAACACGTTCATCGCTCTGCTGTGCCCTTGGCCCGAAAATGGGACGTGAAAGTTTTAATCGTGAAATTTCGAATATCGGAACTAAAAGAAACCTGTGAATAATTTACAGAATGATTATCATAATTTATACTCGTCGCCAAATACTGTGATGATTAAAACTGGGATCATTCAATGGGTGGGGAATGTTTTTAAAAGCAATATTTAGGAACCAACATAATCAGCAGACCACATTTTTTTTGATTCAAAGTCCGTTTTTAATTTATGTTGAAATTCACGTATTTTTAAAAAAAGAGCAAAGGAGTTGTTTCATAAATATAATTAATTACACAATTGCTAAAATCTCATTTTTCGACTGCTACAAGGAACAGCAGAGCCACTTGATGTAGATTCTTGAACTAAACGACAAACTACCCCCGTACTCGAGGCTAAACCTTTGCTGTGGTACGCGTGGCGTTTACATATTGTCAAAGTTGAGTTGCATGATGGGAAAGTTTTGTGAATTGGTTCGAGAATATGGTGACCGGGACACAGAAGGTAATTGGCTTCATTGTTTGTGGTGATTTGTAGATAATAATACTTTTAAGTAACTCTTGATTGAGTGGTGAAAGCTACATTTTGAGTTCGGGTTTTATTTTGTGAACATATACAAACGAAGTTGTTGAAATATCTGTGATCTCAAGTATGGAAGTGAATGTTGATTGATGAAGGTAAGAAGTGAATTATTTTTAATGAGTCAGGATGTTGTAGTAAATTATATAATGACACACTCAATTTTTGGTATTCTTAGGATTATTTGTCGGTTATAAAAAAATCTTCCGCTGGTGTTAAAATTACGAACCCGTTTTATAACCTGACAATGAGTTCGTTGTGCTGATCTTATGACAGTTCGTTACGTCATCCTTGTACCGGAAGAGGATGTACGTTGTGTTTTTTCGACTGACTTAAGCGCTATCTTTTCAACCCGTGGTACTAATACGAGTCACGTAGAAAGAAACGTTTAGAAATTTCGCGGAGTCGTGGTTGGGGTTTGATGTCGTAGGAGTGGTTAAAAGAATATCGTTGAAAAGCATACACGATCCAAAGGATAAATCAGTCAAGGACAACATGTCCCCAGAAGGTAAATAATAGACCAATATGGAGATCTAGACATAAATTGGTGGCGAATAAAATGCATATTAAATTCGTCCTGTGGTGGGCTGTTAAGAACACTAATGTAACATCGAATTACATAAGTGGCGGAGAATTTATTGAGTAGCTGAGCTACTGTCAGCTTACGACGAGATGAACAACAAGTCGTACCACGCGTGGATAAGTTGCGAAATTAATCGAAATGTTGATGTAAATACTTAAAAAAAAATATATATATCCTGAGAAACTTCTACGTTCGATGATAATATTAAAAAGCGGAAGTGAAGGTTAGGTTCGACTAGCTAGGATAGGTTTACTGGCAGGCTTTTGTAAACTTTGTAGCGAAGCTTATAAAGTTGTTTTTTCTTATATATAACCGAAGAATGTCTTCGTGACTTCTGCGAAATTATGAATGGGAACGTGCAATGGATTTCACTGAATAGGGGCGCAGTACGTGTGCCATTTTTACGCGGAACTTGTTTCTTGTCTTGTGGTTCTGATACTTGCCGAGAAGCGCTGTATGTTGTCACTGTGAGCAGCAAATCAACTCTGGTGCAAGTGTCCTTGGCATTGAAGGTTCATCGGTCAGCCGGGAGACGGTCGTACCAACTGCCTCGAGCTGTCAAATTTCCCATTTACATTCTCTGATTTCCCTTCGGTCTCGCATATTCTTCTGTTTCTACCATCTGCGTTTATACTAAGCAATGTTGGTTGCTGATTATTTCCTGTTATGTTCTGGAGGTGAGAATTGGATTAATCTGGCTTAGAATAGGGACTTGTGGCGTGCTGTTGTGAACACGGTAATGTATCTACGGGGTTCATAAAGTGCTCGAAGTTTCTTGAGCGTATTGTTGTGGGAATTTTTAAATTTAAATTTTCCCAACAGTGTGACGTAGTAAGAAGTCATATTACTCAGCGAAAATCGTGTAGCAAACACCTGACCTTCGCACAGCGCACCAATAACAATTTAAATGACGTCTGATTTGTATTCAGTAAACTTTACTTCCTGAATAAGAAATCGCTCGTGCAAGCAAGGCAGCTCTAACCATGAAATTGTAACCTGTGGTCCGCACGCGAGGCAGAAGAAAGTTGTTTTTCTTACATCGTTTCTGCTGCAGAGGTTTTGTGTCGTCGAACGATGTGACAAAGATATTGTTCCGTCTGGAAATACTGAACAAAATCACGAAAGGCGTTAGACTCGAATCTGACATCTCCTGAATAAACCTTTACCGCCACACTAACCCGCTCGAAGGGATGAAAGGAGAAGGCGTACAGGAAATAAAAGATAAACATAGAAAACTCATCAAGAATATTTACCGTTTGAGGCCAAATGGTAATTAAACGTGTTACCTGCTTTAATATTAAGTAATTCTGCATTTCGTCCATACGGCGTGTCTATTTTCATGCGATTCTCAATCTAAACAGCGATTATTTCCTTAAACAGCGTTAACCAGTTGATCTTTGTAACGGTGAGGCGTTGTGTTTACTTCGCGGTACGGACTGGATTCTTAAATGCTATTTAGACGAGCTTCGGCTTCGAAGGGTTAAAGGACTGCTGTGTGACACGCAGCCTACACTAAAGGGGGGACACGTGAGCACACAAAAGGAGCACCGACAGGAAGAGGGGGGGGTGCCCCATACGAGCTTGTATGTTCGTGCAGTCAAACGATGCATGTGATGGGAGAGGCATGTAGCACGATGACACCTCAGAAACGCATATAACACTCAGTGGAAACCACACGGGATGAGATCGATTGAAAAAATGAGGATAATATTAAAATGGATAGTTCGGAAAGAGGATGTGAGGGTGTTGACTGGATTCATCTGGCTCAGGACAGAGGCGGGTGGAGGGACCTTGTGAACACGGTAATGGAACTTCTTGACAAGCTGAGCAACTGTAAGCTTCTCAACAACTCCATTCCACGGTGTCAATTCAGTCAGCCTAATTTATTTTCTAAAGTAAAGAGAAAGCTGTGAATGGCGATAATTGGCTCATTATCTCTGGTTCTTATCTGTGTGAAACGTTTTGGCCACGTTACGGTCCGTGGACTGACGCTTTGAAACTTCTGAAGCCTACACGTGCTTATTTACGAATCCAGCCCGTACCGCGAAGAAAACACAACTCTTCACCATTAAAGATGGCTGCCTTCTGGGTTGTAGCGCCGTGTAGTCTGGTAGAAGTTTACCGACGTTTCAGAGGTCTTTACTGCCTCCATCATCAGGACGATCGCCCTCTGAAACGTCGGCGAATCCAGCAGAGTGAGTCGTCTTTATGTTTGTATTGTTTGGATCCTGTGATTGGGGAAGTTTCAAGTCGATTTATCTCGATCGTAACAAGAAAGTGATTTATAATATCACAATTCAGTGTTCACTGATTATATTTGTTGTGTTGGTGATGCTTGAGACTTCGGCACGAAAGGAATTATAAATATGTCGTCATTTGAAAGGGCGCAACTCCACTTCTGGATTGTTTTCCGATGCGGAAACTTGTTCCAAGGTCGGACGGGAAGGCTGAACGTAAAAGTACGTGACGTCATGGCGCTGCACTGGCCACAGTTTCCATGGTTACGAAAGAAAACAAGAGTTCGGAGTCTTCTGTCTTCCCGTCTCATACCCAAACACGGAGAAACGTGGGACAAAACACTACTCTGCAATTAATTTTGAGTTGGTACGAAACATGAAGAACACGGATTTCAGGAACAGAGAAAATTACACGTTGAGGTGCTCCAAAATGTGACGTTAAATCGCTGTCACGTGATGAGCATTTCTGTTTCGTATTCGTGAGGCCCCGGGTTAGAATCTCGGTCCGGAGACAGGCTGAGATGGTTAGGGCATGATAAGAAATGAGACGATAAAATCACTATAAGGGGTAGGTATCAGCTGGGAGACAAGCGTACAGAAGGGAGGATAACATTGAGGTAGATCTTACAGTGACAGTTTCTGAAGATGTGGTATTTTGTGAGCACGGTGATGAACTTTCGGGCCCTCTGACGCACGGAATTTGTTGAGCTGAACAAGTGGTTTTAGGCTGACGTTTCGGAGGTGTTTACTGCCTCCATCATCAGGGTTTGCATCTTTAGCTGCTGGAGGAAGATTATGCCACGAACTGTCGCGTCATGCTCTAGTATCGACCGGATTGAACCGCGTAATAAATTCCTTCTCCGCGCTCGTTCCACCGTGAAGCATTGAAAGAGAGAGAGAGAGAGGGCGCTAATTCTCGATAGACCGTGTCCTCCTTGTACCACCTTTCGCGATTTCCCCTGTCGTGATGTTTACAGCTACTTCGTTTTATTAACTGATAGCGCGGATTTAGTTTCATTTGCCTTCGCTGTCATTTGTCTCGATTTCAAAAGTAGGTCAGTACGATATTCGAAACTCTCTCTCTAAAAAAAAAATCCTGGATTAAGGCTCTTCCGGGCCACAGACACTTCAGTTTCAAGACTGGCGACCAAAATTGTCTCGTAACACTTGACAGTCATCGGTGATTTTAAGAAGAATTATTTGTTATAAGTTTTGTCTTACAAACGAGAAGAAAATATTGTCGAAAATGTTTTCGTGGGGCCCTTGGATAACGCTGGCTTACCTGTTTCGATTCTCTGCCGGACTTCTTCAGATTTCTTTCACGTAGTTACGAGAAAAATGATTTATTTCGCGTCGAGATGATAATTATCAGACGGAGAATCTAATCTTACCCTGTGAGGATTCACGAAGGCGTGTGTCGTCAGACCGGACCAGCAGAATTATTGGCACAGAATTTAAATTATTATACAAGTGAACATAGAAATGAGCGTGTAATTTTGATGCTGATATCCACTTACCCATCCAAGGAATGTCACTTCGCTGTAGATCGCTCATGCTCGCTCGCCGGCCGACAGTGCACTGCCACGTTCACCCGGCACAGCTGGCAAGCGACTGAGCGGCTATTCGCTCGACCCACTCTTGACGCCTGGGGGCGTCGATACTGGGGGGCGGAGGGGGGGGAACTACCGAAATTTGACAATTTCTTTTCACCAAATGCGATGTCGGTGGGAGGATAATATTAAAACGAGTAAACAAAATCACTGGTACGTGCTGTAATGAAATTAACTGACCAGCTGAGAGACTATCAGCATATCAGCCATTATTCTGATTCTTGAAGCCAGCAGCTCGGGAAATACGAACCACCACAAACGTCACTGGATCTTGGTCTCCGCGGTCAGCGGAGCGTACGAACGGGACGGATCGCGTGGCGATGGAGCGGAGAACGGTACTGGGCACTGCCAGGCACGGGTCTGTCCGGTCCCGCAGCAGAGTCCTTCAGAAGCTGATAGTCGCTCAGCCAGTACACACCCCGACCGTGCGTGTTCCTTGTCCCGAGCTAGATGTCGTCGTCGCGTGTCTAATCAGATGGAATGCGTGTTAGAGCAGTTTGTCAACGTTTTTCGTAAAGCGGACCCCCCCCCCCTCACCCAGAAAATTATCTCTCATACGTTTTGAAACACTGACTGAGTAAAATATAGACAGAGCGTACTGTTCTGACGTCATGTTCTTTTCTCCATTGTGGACTGACGAAATAAAACCTCAAAAGTTGGAGCAGTACAACATAAAAGAACAAAGAGTCTATTCAACTCGCGGACCCCGGATCCCCCAGGGGTCCGCGGATTTCCAGTTAAAAAACATTTGATCATATTGAGGCGTGTCTTATGTACAATCAAATAATAATTTATTATTTTTGTGAACAAAATAAAGCTGCTTTTAAAGCCATAAAGTGGTTCTCAGCGTTCGTAAAATTGTTTCCAAACGCGTCCTCTTAATGCCAACGAAATTCAGGCTCTCGTATGTGATTTGATTACTTTTGCTAGAAATAATTTTGATGTCTTGATGCCTAAAACGTCTTACATTTTGATCTGAACGTAAACGAAACTTCCATCGTCTGCCTGATGTGTTTACTGTGACGAACAGCTCGGTTTGACCTTGAACGCTTTTAATATGAGGTCATGTGTTCGACCCTCATATATTTTTACTTCCCAGGGATGTTACAGGCGTTGTGTGGTCTGATCCCCCATCTAAGGCAGAAACCAGCAAGGGGAACTTAGATGTGACCGCCGAGGCTCAAAAGTGGAAAACGGTTTGTCCTTGAAAGATTTTAGGGCTGCGGGTCATTTAAAGATATAGCAAAAGAGATATATATTATGTCATTTATTAACACCTTATAGCCCAGTGGTAACTATATGTACCACCTGCTTCGACAATCAGTAACCCTTGATTTTATATATTTTTTTTGTACGGTTCTTAATGTAAATAAACGATTATTTCCTTAAACAGCGTTAACCAGTTGATCTTTGTAATGGTGAGGCGTTGTGTTTTCTTCGCGGTACGGACTGGATTCTTAAATCGACACAGGTTTTCCTTGGTTTTCCTCTGTCTTCAAGCAAATGCTGAGATGGTTCCCAAGTTCCAAGTTGCCACTGCAAGCTTCTCATGCAGCCCTCCCGATTTAAATTAATCAAAATTTACCACCCCTTAACGCCGTCAAAATTTACCCCCCTCCCCTCAGTAGGAACTTCTAAATTATGTATTAAACTTCCAAATTAATAGCCTCAGCTTTCGCTAATACAAAATTCAAAATTCCGCCTTTTATGCCAATCATCACACTAACGCCTTCACTCTTACTTTATCCTTAACAGAAGGACGAGCGGGCATTGCCTGGGGACCTTCTAGCTATAAGATGCTCTTTCTCCCCCCCAGATATCGAAGTGTCTCTCACTTCTCCCCCACCAATTTCCTCTCTCTCTCTCTCTCTCTCTGGCTTCGAAGGGTTAATTAATTGATCTTTGTACTGCAGACCGCTAGAAGCCTGCAGATTATGACTAAATAATGTTTAAAAGAGTCTTCGATCACCGCAAAGAAAACACCGTGGCTCAGTGACGCCGATCACTTGGTTAATACAAGGAAATAAATCCACCTGGGTATAGTAATCCCTTATTTTCACTGGACAGAGTAGGGACATCTCGATTTGTTTTTGTTTTATTACGTCATCAGCGAAGGGCTCAGTATCACATCCTCGGCCCTAATTTAGGGGCTTCGTCTCTTGTCTGGTCTCGGAGTAAGGGCGCTATTTTAGTTTAGTAATATTTGGACTTAGACCACTTTAGCACTTCACCGGGGGTGTATTTATCGCAATTACTAAGCTCCTGTGGCATATTAGAAAGTAGACGTTGCAAAGGGTCGTATCTGGACGAGGCCACGTCCGGAACTGCTCCCTTTAGCTGGTCGATCGTCGGCTCGTTCATAACAAAACCTGCCGATTGATTTCCAGCCGAGAAGTCACATTCGCTTTTGCTGTGTAAGATCGGAAGGAGAGAGCGGTACTCAGCAGGTAGAGACCAGAGAGAATCGCCCCGATGATCTGGAAAGAGCGCAAGAAACTGGTGATAATCGACTGTAGAGTAAGAAGACAGGCCAGTGTTTCTCCTTAAAGAGGAACATCCACATGTTGTTCCCGCATAATTTATTACGACACGTACAGACTCGAAGACGAACCAGAATTTCTCTTAAAATAAGCCGCACTGATGTCACGGAATCCCTTTCCTCTTTGTGACAGCCTTATGAATACGAGGTGCGATCGGAAAGTTTCAAGACTGTGTCAATAGAGGGCGAACCGGATGTAGTACGAGCTTCTGCCGCTAGGGGGGTGAATCAGTGAGCCAGCCGGCATCATCGAATTAGCTTTTGTTTCTTAGTTACGGGCGTTTTGGTAGTGCATTACACCGACCCTCCTGCGATTTCGGAATGGCGTGTGCATCAAATTTTGCCAAAGACTCGCCAAAACGGCTACGGAAACCTATGAAATGCTAAAGCAAGCATTTGGGGAGTCCGCAATGGGTCGTGCACCAACTTTTGTGTGGCATTCACGTTTTAAAAATGGCTGAACCTCTGTCGATGATGACGAGCGTTCTGGACGACCATCTTCGAGCACAACGCCCGAAAATGTTACGAAGATTCGGCAGGCCATTCACGAAGATCGACGTCGTACCATCAACGACTTGTGCGACCTTGTTGGGATAGGCTATGGGACCTGTCAGCTGATTCTAAAGGAAGAACTCTACATGCGACGCATCGCAGCCAAGTTTGTGCCAAGGCTCCTGTCTGAGGACCAGAAGCAGAATCGACTTTTCGTTTGTCAGGAGCTCAAAGATCTTGCAAGAACCGACCCCAGCTTCCTTTCTAAGCTCCGTGTGACTTCTTCTTCTTCCCAAAGATGAAAATTCAGCTAAAGAGAAGGAGATTTTAGACGATAGAAGAGATTCAGGCAGAATCGCAGATGGTGCTTGACAGGCTGACAAAGAAAGATTTCCAGGGATGCTTCCAGGCTTGGCAGCGGCGCTGGGATCGTTGTGTTCACTCCCAGGGGAACTACTTCGAGGGTGATGGATGAATTTAATACCTGAGATAAGTGTACGGGTTTTTATACGCGTAGTCTAGAAACTTTCCGATCGCACCTCGTAGGCCTATATAATTTTTGTATCAGTTTATTTTAAATTATTGTCTCCGCGTGCCCGCGGAATGATCTATTATCGAATATTATGCTACCCGTTCCTGACGAATGTTATGTTTCACGAACATAAACAAAAAACAATGTTGTGGTAAGTTCCTGGAGGTGTTCCAGTATGAACAGTAGTCTTAATCCCAAGATGACCGTCTTCTGAGATGTAGCATCATCGCCCGTATGATAGAGGCAGCAGGTACCTCCGAAACGTCGACGAAAGTCTACCAGACCACGCGGCGCTACGACCCAGAAGACAGCCATCTTCGGACTCGCTCCCACCCGTTTAATCTAAATTCATTCGGAAACGATGAAAGTGGAAGCAGCAGGAGCGTCGAGCCCTTACGTACCCCTGCAGCCAGGAAGGGCACGTGGTAGTAGCCATTCTTGTATCCCCTGATGTCCGGCTTGTTCACGGTCACCATGAGCGTCACGGAAGCCGCGAGACAAAGGCCGAACGCCAGGAAATGGTACAGGACACCCTGGAAGAGAAGAGACGTCTTAAGTCTGAGGTGTTCGTTTTGAGGCCGACAGAAGTGAGTTCTAAACCATGAGAACTGAATAAAATTGTGAAATTTTTAATTTTCGTTCAGCTATTCGTAACCCTCGTGAAGGATCTCGCGATACAGCCCCTCAGCTGAAGACGCCGGACTGTCATCGGGGATGTTGTACCGTGCAGTCCGGTAGATACTGAACGACGTTTCAGATGTGTTCATCGCCCCGATGGTGGAGGCAATAAGTATATCTGAAACAACGTTTAATTTTACCAGACTTCATGGCGCTACAACTTAGAAGACAGCCATCTTATTTCAGTTTAGTTTATCAGATTATTGAGTCCGCGTTTACTTCTGAGAGGGAATTTGGAGATTATTGAGTCCGCGTTTACTTCTGAGAGGGAATTTGGAGATTATTGAGTCCGCGTTTACTTCTGAGAGGGAATTTGGAGATTATTGAGTCCGCGTTTACTTCTGAGAGGGAATTTGGAGATTATTGAGTCCGCGTTTACTTCTGAGAGGGAATTTGGAGATTATTGAGTCCGCGTTTACTTCTGAGAGGGAATTTGGAGATTATTGAGTCCGCGTTTACTTCTGAGAGGGAATTTGGAGATTATTGAGTCCGCGTTTACTTCTGAGAGGGAATTTGGAGATTATTGAGTCCGCGTTTACTTCTGAGAGGGAATTTGGAGATTATTGAGTCCGCGTTTACTTCTGAGAGGGAATTTGGAGATTATTGAGTCCGCGTTTACTTCTGAGAGGGAATTTGGAGATTATTGAGTCCGCGTTTACTTCTGAGAGGGAATTTGGAGATTATTGAGTCCGCGTTTACTTCTGAGAGGGAATTTGGAGATTATTGAGTCCGCGTTTACTTCCTACAAGTGTAGTGTTCGATGCTTGCGGCTGTGTGTACGTACGTAGATCGTCTGGGCAATCTTCGAAGCTGTGGCGTGTGAAGTGACGCAGGCGACCAGAAGGCAAAAACTGTTAAGCAGGCAGGCTGCGGTTACAGCAAGGAAGAACGTGACGGGTTTCCACACGTCCATTTGCTCGACCTTGAGCACGTTCTTCAGGACCATCAGCATCCATTCTGCGGCCTGTGCCTCAACGTCGTAGTAGTAGCGGTCCCCGAAGTAACTCACCAGGCCCACGCACACGGCGCTCAGCACCTGGAACCCGTTTGCCAGGAAGAACACGGTGATACACCTTCGGGTTTCATGAATGGCGGGGAACAATTGATAAGCGACTCTCCATTACCAAGAATGGTTTGGCTATGTTAGGTTAGTCACTGCCGATGTTCAAGCCGAAGAGTCGAAATTGCTCAAGGATGGATTGCACTCCATTGCATAATCGTCGATGGAGATAAGCACTTTTAATGAGGTTACGGAGTTATCGCAAAGTTATCATAAGGCAACAAGTAAAGTGAGATTACAGGGTAGGTTTGTCACTGTCGTGTCTGACCGGGGGTTCGATCCCCGACGGGGGCAAGGGTCCTCCATCCAGATCGGCTCTCGGACTTCCCCAACATCCTATCTAGTGGGGGGCGCCGCTGTGTCCCGCCCACCCTCTCAAGCGCCGCCATGGCGAGTATCAGGAGGACAAGTTTGGTTTGTACGTACCGTTTCTGCGAGTTGAACGATGCCAGTGCCGGTAGCCACGTATGACAAATTGTGACGTGGAGCAGTGCCCTTAGACCTGAACCGGGTGGTTCTGATTTCTGCTACGTTCCTGTGCGACATCGTCTTACCACCGCAGTTACCTCACTGACGACTGAACGTCTTCGCGTCGCGATCACCGGGCACAGGTTCCAAGGACAAGCTGTAATCGCCTCGGCCGGATAAACAGACCTGGTGGCCGCTAGGCTTTCGATGTCGATTCTGCCTCTTGGACGTTGATCCCTTCCGTAGCTGACGTCTTATCTCGAGTGCCAGTAGAGGCGGAGACATGTTTCATCACCACATTAACTGTCTTCGCGGTACGACGTTTTGGACAAACTGATTGGTTTCTCGTATAGAGTGGGGAGTCTATATACGACGGATGTGGGCAGAAATAAATTAAATTAGATATGAGTACTTCATAGTACCAAGTTTAATCGAAATAGAACACCTCGCATGTATGTGCTATCGTAAAACCCAGTGTTTTTCAGCCTCTCTGATACCCCGGGCCCCCCCCAACCCCCCGTAATTATCTCATACGTTTTGAAGACTAGCTAAAATACGTACAGGAGGCTTATTTTTTTATCTTGTTGTCAAAAATTTCCGTAATGCGGTTATCACAATAAAAGTATTTTCAAATCTCCTTAATTTTGCCCCTCTCCAATTTTTGGAACGCCTTGCGGATCCCTGTTTGAGAAACACTGACACAAAAGGGGAGTTTTGTGCCACTCATGCACGCGAGATATTTTTTCTTGTTTGGACGCTGCAGGATCTGACCTGTTGAGCTCGCTGTTGCACAATAAATAAATAAATAAATAACATTGTTTCAGCAAATACAATATATTTAATATTCGATTACATCTTGAAATAAGTATAAAAATAGTCCCTGATCTCTAACCTCCATGCGCCAACAGCTTTTGCCTCTTGTTTCGGTTTCCTTCCCAATCCCTGTGTGATGTAGCAGAATTGAGTCTTGAACAGAGGATACAGAAGTTAAGATTGAGCTGGAATTCTTTTGTAGAATCCTTCGGAACACTTGACATCAACTCTCTGTCATTTCGTGTCGTACTTAAAACCCGTTTCAGTAAACTTCACTTATCAAAATACAATTCATATATTACTTCACACGTTAATACAGGGTGTTCTGATTAAAACGCAACCCGACAGCGGTCACGTACTACGGATCAGAAATGCGCAGACTCTTCCAATTTCCCTCGTGACACCAGAGTCAGGGTCACCCTTGTTACTAGGCCGCTGATCAGGTCGGTTGCGCAGAAGACTTGCAGGTGCGAACATGGCGTATTTACGAGAAAAACGAGTGTTAATTCTCGATCATTTCTTCCCATCGAAACTTCAAAGCGTATCTTGACAAGGATGAATCTATGAGATGATAAAGTTGCGTCATATTGTGATGATTATAATTGTTTAATTTTAACCGTCTAATCACAATAAAATATTTTATTAAATATTAAAATATTATTACTACAATTAACATTTAAAATATTTAAAATATGTTAAAATGATGCTCTTTCTATCAAAATGTTCGATTTACAATTAGAGCATCATCTTTTTCACGACATGTTTCGGTTTTCAATGAACCATCGTAAATCGAACATTTCGATAGAGAACATCATTTAATATATTTTAAATATTTAAATGTTAATTATAATAATATTTTAATATTTAATAGGAATTTTATTGTGATTAGACTGACGAGATTTAAACAAATATAGGATGAATCTTATAGAACGACAGAACCGTAGTTAGGTTTGCGTTTCAAGTGGAACACCCTGTACTTTAATGACAGGACAAATTTTACCTTTGAAAGATTGAAAGCTTTTTAGTGTGCAAAGGTTAGTGACGTTTTCCTGCTTGATAGAACTTATCAAGAACCGAAACTCAGCCGGCAGGTGATAAAATGTGCAAAATAATTCGTTCTGATAAAATAAACAACACTATTGCTCCAATCAGGGAACACAGAACGGGGTTTGGTTCACTTTAAGTGTAGCCACGGAATTGTCTGTAAGCCAGGTACGCGTCGTACCCATGGAGGACTCCCAGAACAAGACCCAGCATCTGAAACACAGAACTCGGTCAGACACGGGAACGCTTGAGGGTTGGGGGGGGGGAGGCGCAGGGGTCAGACCTCGCAGGTCGCTCTGGTGTTCTTAAAATGTCAAAAAGTATGATCAAAAGGGGTTTTTGTAAACACACCAAAATATTTTGTGTCGTTGCAGTCTTTTGTCTTCCGAGACTCGTAATTTTACAAATTCGTTATAATGGCTGCGATTGTGACGTAAAGAATCAAGGTAGGGGAAAGCTGGTGAGATTACGCGTTTGCTAACGGGACTCAGTGCGTGTTTTCAGCAGTTGGCAGCCCTGGGAGCGGAAGTAGAAGTTTCGTGTCATGGTTGAACTTCAAGACGCCATAACGAGCTATGTGTTGTCATTCTACAGCGTGTTTCAAAAGTAGCTTCACACGCTTCGGCTCGCTTATGTTATGTTATGTAAGGCTCAGTTAATTTAGGCTACTTTGGAATGCGTTAGATTAATTTTCTACAT